TAACAAAACTGTTGCCTTAACTGTGCAGGGATTACTGACGATTCTATTCAGATTATTTTCAGAGGCTCAGTATTTGGCTGAAGAGCTCAATAATGATGTTTTCACGGAGCAAAAGATTAAGAACCACATCATACTGCAAAAGCAAAGCAGAGAGACATACGACAAAAGATCTTGTAAAGATCTGACATATTAAACTTGAGACTTTAGCTAGTAAGTAACTGGAGGTTGTTAATCAGTTTCAGGTGTTTTGATGACATTAACAACAGTTGCAGTGGAGGGGCAACAATGACACAACCCCCAAACAGGAAGGCCACTGACAGTTTTTTCCTCCTCATCTTTTCTGACGGTTTGTTTTTTTCCACTGATTTTACTTGGCAATGGTCAGGTCACCACTAGCTGCATAAAGCCATACTCTACAGAGGTTTCACAGGTAGTCCAACTCCTCCAGGATGGTACATCGATACATGTCAGAAAGTTTACTGTCTCCCATGACACCTTTGCAAGGCCATGGGAAATATGGGTGCTGGGGATGCTGCAGCGCCCTCTGTTGCAAGAGGCACACATCACAGCACCTCCGGCCAAACGTAACAAAACAGATAAATATGTTGAAACACTTTAAATGCTATTCTTGTCATACAAGAAATGTGGGATTTAGAAAGTTGTGTTAAATAAGTAAAGATACTTTTTTTTCGTAATTAGCACTGTGTTCAAATGACATCACATAGTCACCAATAAAATAGAAGTGGTGCATTTTTTCCAAGTCACGTTTGGAGCATTGGGATGCAGGATGCTGTGGTAGCCATGCTGGTCAGGTCTGTCTTCAGTTTTAACTAAATCCCCAACAGTGTCACCAGCAAAGCCCGCCCACACCATCAAACCTCCTCCTCCATGCTTCACGGTGGGAACCGTACATGTAGAGACCATTGTTAAAGTTTTCTGTGTCACACAAAGACCGAGCAGGTGGAACCAAAGATCTCAGACTTGGACTCGTCAGACCAAAGCACAGATGTCCACTGGTCTAATGTCCGTTCCTTGTGTTTCTTGGCCCAAACAAATCTCTTCTGCTTGCTGCTTTTCCTTAGTCCTGGTTTCTCTGCAGCTATTTGACCATAAAGGCCTGATTCACTTCCACTGTGTCCCAAAACGTCGGCTGCATCCTCTGGAGGCCGCATTTGAAGGCCGATTACCAGGCGACGAAGGCTGTCCCAATTCGTCGACTCCTTCAAATGCGTCCTTCATTTTCCCGAATTTGAAGGATGGGTCGGGTGTGTCCTTCGTGGCCCACCATATCCCAGAATTCATAGCGCGGCCCAGCCAAATTTAAGCTGCCAACAATGGCGGCTGCTACTAAGTTTTAAAATTAGGCCTAAGTTGCTTGTGTAGTGCTCTCCTGATCCTCTCTGAACACTCTCCCTCAGTAAATGCTTTCCTGGAAGCATGTAATGCTGACATATGTTCAGCCCTCTAAGGCAGGTGGCTTATCCATCAACACAGAAGGAAGGTTGGGGTTTTGGCCAAACACAAGTTGATGTGGACTATAACCATGTATATTAAGCATACTGTTTTGGCCATAAGGGCCCAGTCTAGCGCAGTGTGCCAGTCACATCCTCGTTCCTTTTTTCCCTTCAGGAGGATTTCTGTAAGTGTCATGTTATGTCTCTCCAGTAGTCCATTGCTCCAGGGACTATACCCCGCCGTTGTCTTTACCTCAATGTTGAGGTTTTCAGCCATGTCCAGAATCTCTGTGTTGTCGAACTCTCCGCCGTTATCCGTGTAGAGCTGCCTGGGGGCACCATGAAAACTTATCCAGGTGTGAATGAAGAAGTTGATGATCTTTGCAGCTTTCTTTGTCTTTACGATGCTGCCGGCACTGAAGCGTGTGAAGTGGTCGATGATGTGAAGGTACCACACGTCGGGCTCCAGCTCATGTAGATTCATCGCTACTGTCTCATTATACTCAGAAGCCAGGGGTAGACCAACAGCAGGTCTCGGCTTGGTTTTGCAATATGTCTGACAAATGTCACAGTCACGGACTATCTCTTGTAGAATAACTACTCATTGTTTGTCCTCTCCGTGAATCGCTATACAACCCTTGCAAGAGCTTGGTTCGCATTGCCGGCAATAAATCGGACTCGTTCCTGGTGGGTGATGGGCTCCGCCAGGGCTGCCCTTTGTCACCGGAGTGCTTTCACTTCAGTGGCCTCAGAATCTCATTTCTGCTTTTTGTGGATGATGTGGTTCTGTTGGCTTCATCGGGTGAGGGCCTCCAGCTCGCACTGGAACGGTTCGCAGCCGAGTCTGAAGCAGCGGGAATGAGGATCAGCACCTCCAAATCTGAGGCCATGGTTCTCAGCCGGAAAAGGGTGGAGTGCCCACTCCGGGTCGGGGATGAGTTCCTGCCCCAAGTGGAGGAGTTCAAGTATCTGGGGGTCTTGTTCGCGAGTGATGGGAGAAGGGAGCCAGAGATCGACAGACGGATTGGGGCTGCAGCTGCAGTAATGCGGACGTTGCACCGGTCCGTCGTGGTGAAGAGGGAGCTGAGTGTAAAAGC